TGGAATGCCTCATATTTGACTTCTTTGGTGAACTGTAGTTTTACTACATGAGCTTATAGAGTGTAATCTTATATTAGATGGACAGAGGGAATTATCCAGATTTATGGAAGGTACATGCGATAATGAAATATTTAAAATGCAAATGGAGGAAATTGTCTTCTCTGCACTTCAATGTATTGAATGTGTTCAAGTCTACTTGGCACAAGTAAGCCAAGTAGGAAATTATATGTGTAAGGATGGCAAACTATCCAGTCACCTGGAACGTCTTATCACTTACCTATGCAGAAGAAAAATTGAAAATGCCCTGAATAAAGGCAAGCAGAACGGTAATGTGCCAACCTAAACTATCATGGAAAGAAATGGAGAAAATGTGTGGTTGTCAAATTTTATATCAAGACAATAATGTTTCACAATACAAATATACTTTTTTTTAAGTACAGAAAGAGATCATTCTAGTTGCATGAAGAAACAAAAGAGCAAGTTGGAATGCAATGACAGTTTTATACTATGATAATGGGATGTGTGACTTTGGTGTGAAATTGCACAATTGAAAAGCTAGGGTCAGCCTTCATTAGTTATGACCAGTTAATCAGATTGCCAAAAGGCAACCTGATTTCCCATTTTTCTCAAAGAATGCTACTTATGATATAGGAGTTAGAACCTACTTACAGGTAGATAGGATAGGGGCCCCACGTGAAGTCACTGGTCACTGTGTTTTTCCTCTATGATCTGTTAATGTACAATATACACACGTTTTACATGTCTTTAAGGAGTTTATGATTCCTTGTCAATAAGGCAGGAGATAGGGATATTGAACATATAGATAAAGACCCAATAGACAATCATGATGGCTAAATTCTCATAGTCAAAAGTTGGCTGCATTGGGACTCAAAACAACTGTAGCTATGGGCAACAGTTTCTATTTAGTAACTATATCTAACAAAAAGTATAGAATGCTATGATTTGCTGACCACACAAATAATGTGGTATAAATCACACAGACTACCATGTGACTATTTTCTAAAGCCCACTTTCTCATCAGAAAGCCAGCCCATTGCTTGGACTGCTAGATTTAAAATACTCTCATGTCCAGCTCCTCTTTGGCACCCCTTCGGGGACCCTTCCACTACACTGGAAGCTTTTTCTATTTCTGTAATGAACTTCACTTACTATCCTCTCCATTTGTCCCTATCTCTAATTCTTCTAGTGTGTCAGATAAGAACCAGCATGAATGTTGGGTTCCATCACCTAGCACTCCATTGTCACTTTCAGACTCAAGAAGATTAAAAGATGACTTCCTAAGTAAAAATCAGAGATGCTGGTGTTTCACAAGATGAAGACATGTGCCTCAGGAGAAAAGCTCCTGGGCCCTAATTGGTGCAAGCCTCAACAAGAAGTCCAAGTTTGATATGATGTACTTGCTATACCATCTAGTCTCTGCAGACTGACTGGCCTCACCAGAATTAGCACCCAGTATTTTGTAATTTCTATTATGATTTTTCTAGTTTATCATAATCCTACCTGCCTGAATTCTACTTACTCCCCCAGATAAAAGATGTCTTAACTTCATTTGATTTTGTTGGTAACCTTCATGTTTAATTACTGAACTTCGGTCTCAACATCCTTAAAAATGTTCTCCTACAAGATCTGCTATTCCTACTACCAGCTGTTCTTCTAACATGTTTACATGTCCTGAGAACAATGCAAGATTTATTTGTTGCATACAAAGTTTACTTGAGTCCATAAAAGTTCATATTTCTATATATTTTTTAAGTTCTCTGTGTCAAATATTATCAAGTAAACTTTGTTCTCTTTGGGTATCACAAATGAAACTATTTTACACTGAAAAATATTAGTCATATCTATGTCCTATGAAGAAAATGACATGGAACAAATATTTGTTGAATGAATTAGTTAGTAAAAATTAACTACTATGAAATAATTATGAAGAATTCAATAATTTTTTTATTTTTTTATTTAATAGCTTAATTTTCTTACAATATGTGTAACATGATAACTTCTAGATTTCAATTATTTATCTTAAATGTCACTCACTTAAGTAAGATAGGTATTTATATTGATTATTCATATCAAATTATTTTTAACTGGGGACAGTGTACAATTTTAAATAAAGTTTCATTCAATTGTTCTTTCATTTATAAAATGATTTTAAAATTTACACATTTAAATTTTTGGCTCCTTATGTTATTTCTCATCATTAAGTTACCAATATGCATAGTGTGAGTCTCTCTATTTATTGAAGCCAAGTTTACAATTTATAATTTATTTATGGTAAAACTTACTATTTTTTTTTCTTTTTGAAAGATTTTAGCTATAGGGCACATGTGCTTGAGTTAGAGAGAGAGAGAGAGAGAGAGAGGGAGAAATCACCCCTCGGGAGGATGGTCACACCACAATCCCTTTTCTTCCATACTTTTCTTGGGATTTGGGGCATGCACACACACATGCCCGGTATAGGTTTTAAAGTCTCTGGGTCTGGGTCTTGAATTATGACTGACTACGTGGAAGTCTAGCGATGTAACCATTACACCACCTGCTGATCCCCAAATCACCGTTTTTAACAGTATAGTTTGACAAATTGTGATTGATGCTTTAGCATCACCACCACAATAAAGCTACAAAACATTTTCATCACTCCAAAATTCTCTCATATTTTTATTCTTTTTATTTTTAATTTTGCCAGAGGATCAGATAGGAGGAGGTTGCTAAACCACTGGAGGGGCCAGCAGGTGGTATGGTGATTAAAGTACTAGACTCCCACACGGGTGACCATGTCTTGAATCCTGAATCTGGTGACTTAAAAATTATGCTGGTGTTGGGACCAGCAGTTGGTGTAATGGCTATGTCACTGGACTCCCATGTAGTCGATAGTGGTTCAAGTCCTGGACCTGGTGGCTTAAACTCACATTGGGTGCGTGTGCTTGCGTGCCCAAGATCCTGAGAGAAGAATGGAGGAGAAGGGATTGCGGCATGGCCATCCCCCCCGGGAGGTGATTTCTCTCTTTCTATCTCTTTGTCTCTCCTGTCTCTGGCAAGCGCATGTGCCCTATAGCAGAAACCTCTCAAAAATTTTTTTAAAAAAATTATGCTGGTGTGTATGTGTGCATGTCCCAAATCCTAAGAGGAACATGGAGGAAAAGGAATTGTCATGTGGCATCCCCGGTCAAGAGTGATTTCTCACATTCCTTCTCAATATTTCTCTCTTGTCTCTCTCTCTCTGGTGAGTGCACGTGCCCTATGGCAAAAATAAAAATAAAAACAAACAAAAAAACCCCCACTGGATTTGGGACTTGAACCACATAGCTGATCATGTGGGATCCAGGTGTCTTAGCCAACATGCCACTGACTGATCTTCCAATGCTTCTTTGTATTTACAGAATTCAGAGTCTTAAAAGCTTTTGCATCAATGATCACGGTTTTGGATCAACCTGTTGTTTGTGGCCCATAGTGTAAAACTGCTGAATGAATGACTAACTAGAAAAAGACTTAACCTAAATATTTATGATTTAAGTAAAATTAATAATAAATACCACTGTTTGCCTTGTTGGAATATATTTAAAAAATATGACATCTATCCTGAAAGAAGGAAAGTTGACAATGTATTGCTTGTGGGACTATATATTTATAAAATTTCTGGTTGCACTTATATAGCATGATCTTTAATAAATCTAAGTTATTAAACTAATAATTCCACTTTCAAGAAAAGTGTTGGAGATATGCATTGCTATTGAATATTTGTTATAGCATTTTTTATCATACTCAAAAATTATTATAAAATAGTCAATAGTAGGAAATTGGTGAACCATATTGTCATGTCTGTATAATGGAATATTATATATTTATTAAAATGTTTTTTTTTGAGAGATTTTCGCTATAGGGCGCGTACGCTCACCAGACAAGAGAGACATAGAGACAGAAAGCGAGAAATCACCCCCCAGGGGGGATGGCCATGCCACAATCCCTTCTCCTCCATTCTCCTCTCGGGATCTTGGGCATGCACGCACACGCGCCCGGCATGAGTTTTAAGCCACCGGGTTCGGGATGCGAACGGCGGTCGACTACGTGGGAGTCCAGCGACATAACCATTACGCTAACTGCTGGTTCCCTATATTTATTAAAATGTTTTGAAACATATACTTGTTAAGGAACATGATCATTTTAATAGATAAGAATTGGAATCAACTTCCAGGCTCAGAAGTACTTCCCCATTTTTTCAGGATGGACAAACTCCCAAAGGCTGTCTGTCATTCTTATTGATCTGTATTTTACAAAACATCTATAATCAATATTGCTTCTTTCATAAATACATTTGCAAAAAGAAAGTTCAGCTATATTTAGATTAAGTCTTTCTTTAGTTATTTATTCATTCAACAGTTATAGACTATGGGCCACAAACAATAGCTGACCAAAAACCATGATGGTAGCCACTTTGGTTTGAATGTGTTCCCCCCAAATTCACGTATTAAAATTTGGTGAGTCATTATATTAGTGCTGAGAGGGTGGAGACCTAATCCCATCATCATGTTGAAAGGTGGGGTCTTTGAGACATGATTCCATATCACAGTGGAGCCCCCACGATTAAGTTCTAGTAGGTTTACCAAGTGAGGGAATTGGGCAAAGACAAGTTGTTGTCTATCATTTTATCCATCAGCAAGAAGACCCTTTACTGGATGCAACCTTGGACCCCTCCAAACCATAAACTGAATAAACCTTTTTTTTTAAAAAGAAAAAACAAAACTACCCAGACTAACCTGAGTTATTAGCAACAGAATGAACTAGGGCAATAAGTAAGAAGTAGAAGATTCTGAGGCCTCTATGCAAAATATTTATGCCAAAGCAATTTTTAAATAAAAGACTAGTACAAAATTCATGCAAAATTTTTAGTTTTAAACCAAATTAGAGGTAAGGGAAAAGTTACAGATAATTTTTTTTTTCAGTAAGAAATTTTCTTTTACCTTTTTTCTTTTTCTTTTTCTTTTTTTAATATGGAATGCCTCACGAATTTGCTTGTCATCCTTGCACTGGGGCCGTGCTAATCTTCTCTGTATCGTTCCAATGTTAGTCTATGTGCTGCCGACTTGAGCACCAGATCTTTTAAGAACCATTCATTTAAGAGCCATTTTAAGAGAAAGAACTTTGAGAAAGAAGACCAAACTAATTATAATTTCTTTAATGGTTTTTATAGAATATGTTTTTATTTTATTTTTTTGCCAATTGATCTTAATAATAATCCTCAGACTTCAGTTCATGGTTTCATAGGCATGTAAGTCATAGTTGTTACAACACTTGCTGGTTATTGATCTACATATACATATAAACAAATCTTCAAAATTCTGTCATGGCAACAAGAATGATGACCATGAACTCCGGATACACGTGACCTGTTCATACTGAAATTGCTTAGTATGTCCCTCCAGTCCCATCCCCACCTTTTCCAGTGGATTTGTCTTTGTGACGTCTCAATTTTATTGTTCTGGATATTTATATCTAATGTTATAGACACTTATTACTTGCTTCAATTAAAATTATTTTAAAACATTTCAAAAAAAGAAAATTATTTCCAAGAAAACTATGGGGTAAATAAGGTCTGTTTTATTTCAAGACATAAATTATAGTCACAGATATAAAAGATCACCAAAGAGAACACCCTAAATTGCCCTAATGTCTAAACTGTAAATTATTGAGAGTAGAAAATATGCATTTTTTCACTATGATTATCCTTTGTCTGGAATGCAGAAGATTAATAAATACTAGTTATGAATGAATATTATATTTACATTTAAGAAAACCATAAGAAATAGAAGTGTCCAAAAAATCTTACACCCTTAAATCTTCCTTTCACATTATTCTAAGTCAATTTGCTATCATTAATAAACTCTTGCTTTTCCTTGAATGGTGAGTCTTACTGATATTGTAAATCTTGTTTGGTTCAGAACCTCAATCAAGAAATCAAGACTGACTTCCTTGATTAAATACTTCCTGAATTAGCTCATCCTTCAGGATGAGTTTCTATTACATTACTAAGTCCTTCTTAATGTTGTGTTGGAATGTTATTTGATATATGTTCATTGTTTTAAATACACTATGGACCTTTACAGACTAAGGCAGACATATAAGTAAGAGAGAAATTGAAAGAGCAATTTATTTCCTAAGGCATACTTACTCAACCATTTTTGTTTTTTTTGAGAGAAATTTTTGTCATATGACCTATGTGCTTCCTAGAGAGACAGAGAGACAGAAAGTGAGAAGTCACACACACACACACACACACACACACACCCTGGGGTTGGGGGGGGGATGGTCATACTACAATCCCTTCTCCTCTACTGTCCTTTTGGGATTTGGGGGCATGCATGCGCATGCACCCGGTATGAGTTTTAAGTCACCAGGTCTGGGACTCAAACCAGGGTCAACTCTGTGGGGATCTAGCCCCTTAACAACCATGCCACCTCTGGCCCAACCATTTTATTTTTTAAATAGGGATATTGAGTTTATGGTTGTTAGTACATTATGAAAAAAAGCATTGTAACATTTCTCAAGAAGACCTTTTTAAATAATGCCTCTTTTTATTTATTTATTTATTTATTTATTTATGTATGTATGTATTGTTCCTCAAGAAACAGATGGTACCAGCCATGGCCCTGTCTAGACCTATCCCTGAGCTTCCTCCACAACTCTGAGAACACTCCTCTGTCTGCCCTAGACACATGATATATACTTCCATTACTCATAGGCTTACATGTGTTTGTGTGCTATTGCACTGTCATGGGAAGAACTTATATGGCATATGAGATTTTTGGAGAACTGCAACTTTTCCTCAGACTTTAATCAAAGTTCTACTTTAAGGTGAACACTTGGAGATTATTACATAAGTCCTAAATACACAGAACACTATAAGGAGAATAGAGCACATCCGTTGAATTGTTTATTATGTACTTTCATTGGTGCCTATTAGCTTATTTTAGCAATCAGGAAAATTTTGTGTGCAGTGTGTGTGTGTGTGTGTGTGTGTGTGTGTGTGTGTGTTTGTGTATAGTGAGAGAGAGAAGAATGATATCTTAAGATTAACATATTTTCATTATCCAGAGTGTTTGAGAAAGACTCAAATTGACAGGACCAGCAGCTGGCGTAATGACTATGTTGCTGGACTCCAATGAGGTTGATTGCAGTTCGAGTCCTGGACCGGGTGGCTTAAACTCATGCCGGGCAACGTGTGCGTGCATGCCCAAGATCCCAAGAGGAGAATGGAGGAGAAGAGATTGTGGTGTGACTTCTCATTTTCTGTCTCTCTGTCTTTCTGTTTTTCTGGTGAGTGCACGTGCCCTACCTATAGCAAAAACCTTTCCCCCACCAAAAAAAAAAAAAGAAAGAAAGATCCAAGTTGAGATTTCCTTTTGTAACCATCCTGTTTTCCCCTATGCCCTGAGAAAAGGAGCCCAGCGCATTTACCCTTACCTTAGATTTAAAAATATATATCTGAAAATAACCCATTTTCTACTCATCTGAAAACAGCATTTATTAAGTTTTCATTCACTATTTGATCTTTTATACCAGCTCCAATACAAGATAACATCCAAGAAAATGACTGCAAGTCAGTAGATTTGTTCCCATGCACACTTTGTGATTGCTGCGTTCTCGATCGGTGGCCATGCTCTACTAGAATTAGGACGGTGACAGCAGTCAGCTGCACATCAGATCTGCCTGTAGTTTGCAGAACTAGTAGTAGCAGTCACTGCGCTTTGAGGAATCGCTGTGGGATTTCTGCTGGCCCCTAGGGTTGGTGTTTTCATGAACATGCTGAAATGTTGTAGGTTGCTTCAAGTATAAATTTGATGGGTTTGTGCAATAGAGTCTGGATGGCAATACTGAGGGTCATGCCTACTAAGAGAAATGAGCACTTTGACTCTCTGAAGTCTTACTGTGGTAGAAAATGACTTACTTTTCATCCTCCGAGCTAAAATTGCTGATCAATGAAGAAATTAGTTTAAATGGGAAAGAAACCTATATTGACACTATAAGAAAACATGTTTTGTGCTCTATCTCTGGACAAGAGTGACACAATTTTTCTCTAAATCATCTGTTCTGGCCTGTCATCTTAAAATGGAGATGTATTTTTTGTCATGCTCTATTAATTTTTTTAAATTGGCATAAATAGTAAAAAAAAAAGAAAGAGTAAAAATAAATCCATAAAGTTCTCTTCCTTGACAATTTATGTCATAGTAAAAATATACCTCTTTTCACCCTTCAAATTAATGACTTCATTGATTAAAATAAGAGCTCTTTAAACATTTTATCAGTGCAATTGTAGCATAATTTTTGTGCTGGGGAAATTTTTTGTTTCAATAGGATTAAAAAAAATTTGAATATTTATCTCATCTATTGATAGTATCTGGCATCCTGTCCCTGCCTGTGGCCAAAAACTTCACAGCTTCTAGAAAGAACTGCGAGCTTTTCTCAATTCCTGTCTGGTCTGAGGCCCTTCCTGTGAGATCCCGCCATACCCTGTGGGACCTCATCCTAGCACTAATGAGACAGAGCTGTGATTGCTGGGTGTATTGGTTCCTCCAAAGTAGTGGGAAGCTCTGAGGTGAGAAGCAGAGCTGTATTCTCCATTGTAACCCAGTGCCCAGCAAAGGCACTGCACAGTTGGTGAACCCAGCTGTTAATGCTGCTGAATGAGTAAGTGAAAATAAGTTACACCTCCAGCCAGTGGAGTAGAGTGGCCATAACTACAGCTGGATCCTATATGGCCAACTGTGTGGTTTGATTCCAGAACACAATGGCTTGAAAAACAAGGTTAGGGGACCAGCAGATGGTATAATGGTTACATCATTGGGCTCACACATAATTGACAGCGGTTTAAGTCCCAGACCCAGAACCTTAAAACTCACACCAAGCATGTGTTCATGTGTGCCCAAAATCCCGAGAAAAGAATGGAAGAGAATGGTGGTGATTTCTTGCTTTCTGTATCTTTACAAAATATAAATATATAAAATGTATATTTATGAAAATATAAACATATATGAAAATAGCCCATTTTCTCTGTCTCTCCGGACAGTGTATGCATCTTATAGCAGAAACCTCCCCAAACAAACAAACAAAAACCCAATATATTTTAAAAACAATTTTTTTTTTGATATTATTGCTTCATTTGTATTCTCATCTTAGTTGCCAATTCTTATATCCCTTCTCCATTAAGAGTCTGCCAGCTTTGGAAAATTGATTAATTCCAGAAGCAACATGTAGTGAGTTGGTTGATTATTGAAACATAGCCAGAAAGGATCTCTAAGTTTTCTAGGAGTTTTACTTGTGGGGGCAGAAAAACACCTCCAAACAAGCACTCCTTGAAAGGTTAGCTGCAAAATGTATGGCCCACTGCAAAATGGTGTTATCTTTAAACTATTCTCCCCCTCCCCCCCTTTTTTAGAGGTTTTTGCTATAAGGGCGCGTGCGCTCACCAGACAGACAGAGACAGAGAGACAGAAAGCGAGAAATCACCCCCCAGGGGGAATGACCACGCCTCAATCCCTTCTCCTTCATTCTCTTCTCGGGATCTTGGGTGCGCATGCACACGCACCCGGCATGAGTTTAAGCCACCAGGTCCGGGACACCAACCGTGGTCGACTACATGAGAGTCCAGCCACATAGCCATTGCTAACTGCTGGTCCCCCCCCCCCCTTAAATGCATTATGCCCCCCCCCGTCTTTTTTTTGAAGAGGTTTTTGCTATAGGGCGCATGCGCTTGCCAGAAAGATAGAGACAGAGAGACAGAAAGCGAGAAGTCACCCCCCAAGGGGGATGACCACACTGCAATCCCTTCTCCTCCATTCTCTTCTCTGGATCTTGGGCATGCATGCACACGTGCCCAGTATGAGTTTAAACCACCAGGTCCAAGACTCCAACTGCGGTTGGCTACATGGTAGTTCAGCGACATAGCCATTACGCTAACTGCTGGTCCCTTTTCCTGTTCTTTACGTCACTAAGGAATATCTCTTCTCTCATTTGCCATAAATTTGCAATGGTTGCCTTTATTCTCCTTACAATAGTTTAGATTTCTATTTTTACCTCTCTGTCACTTTTTAATTT